ACACAGACACACACAGACACTCTAACACAGACACACACAGACAGACACACACACACACTCTCTAACACAAACACACACACACAGACAGACAGACAGACAGACAGACAGACACACTCTCTAACACAGACACACACACACACTCTCTCTCTCTCAAACACACACACACAGACACACACACACACACACACACACACTCTCTCTCTCAAACACATAGACACACACACACACACTCTCTCTCTCTCTCTCAAACACATAGACACACACACACACACTCTCTCTCAAACACATAGACACACACACACACACACACAATCTCTCAAACACAGACACACACACACACAATCTCTCAAACACAGACACACACACACACTCTCTCTCTCAAACACACACACTCTCTCAAACACAGACACACACACACACACACAAACACACTCTCTCAAACACAGACACAGACACACACACACACACACACACACACACAAACACACTCTCTCTTAAAAAAACTCAAATGTCTCCCTTCCTATTTTATACTTAAAAAGGGACATTTGCTATTAGTTCAAATGAAATGAAAACGACCTGCAGTTGACCTCCTTAATGACGATTATGATGTTCTATATGTGAAGTTTTATTATTTTTTATTTTATTGGGGTGATATTGAGTGATGTAAGTTATGTTTTATGGTTAAAGGATATTTGAAATGCTAAAATATGCAATGAAACCAAACAGCACCCCAAAATATCACCAGCAAAACCAACATACTATTTGCATATCTTAAATAAAAAACTGAAAATACTGTTTATGCTAAGTTTTTTGGAATTTATTAAGTATATTTCTCAAGGGGCAGTACAATCGGTATAGCATACACGGGGACAAGAGCTCAGGCACAATCACTTATATGTTATAAGGGAGAGATGGATTGGTGTAAAGAAAACTCAGATATATCTTATGGCGACTGCTCAACCCTATCCAACAATGAACTCTACATTTGGAAGACATAAAAGTAAAATCCACCGTCCTTCTTTTTAGACTTGAGACTGAATACTCTGCATGTGTGTTTCAGTTTCCACAAAGACGGCAGAGAAACGGTACAGGACATTGTTATTTTTGTGTCAAGTGTCACTGACCAGAAGCAGGATGGAAAATCCTATTTAAACAGGAGGAAAAAAGTCACACACACACACACACACACCATTCCTTGAATAGTGAGCTCATATGCTGCTGAGAAACACCCTCACTTCCCGGTACAATCCTGACTCACAGACAGACTCAACGCACTGTCTGAGACACTGTAATATATTACATATATTTGTACTACTTTATTGTACCTTTCATGTAATAAATATTTGTGTGGTCCAGCTGTCTATTCTGTAAAGACGTCACCCATTTCCCCGCCTTAGGACTCCTCCTCTTACTTTTTTCCCGCTTAAAAAACATTTTTATTGTGGACTTTTCCATTCCCTTTAAACCAGTCATATGGTAAGTCATCTGGGATTGTGAGCTTTAGAAATAAAACGTGCTCAAGTCTGTGACAATCTGCAGGTCAGATTTAGAATCAGGCCTCTATAATTACATCTCTCCAAATACAGAGCAGAAGGTTTGCCGGCCTCCCAGCATGTCTCTCTATAATTATGTTATGTATCTGGTTTCAGTCGTCACATCAAGCTAAATATCATAAAGAGTCACACATCATGTAAGACTGAATTAATCATTGAAGAAAATAAACACTTAAAACTTCCTCATGAATATTACAGGACTTTCAAAAATAAGCAAAATGTAATTGTATGTGTATATTAGAAGCAACAGTTAGATAAAAGCATAAGATACTAAATGAATTCAATTATGTTTGTTGCATTATTTGGAAGAAATAATACAGGAAACAAATCTGTAAGAACACTACAAAAGAAGAAAATAGGGTCAACAAGTTTGAGATCCACAAGAAACTAGATATATTACAGGATTACAATGGGAGAATACAGTGAAGTACTAGGGGGAAAAGGACACAATGTTCCAGAAACTATTATAGTATAGTAGTAGGAGTATTATGAGACAAATGCTACTCTGTTTGATCTAAGGTAATTCTATACAAACAGTTTAAGAATATTAATAATTACAGACTACAGGGATTAAATAAATAAAAAACATTAAATAAATCTGAATATTATAGAAATACTATGCGAATATGATTATTGTAGAATACAGTAAAGTGAGTATATACAGAACAAGGTATGTGTTCAAACATTTTAGAGCTACAACACTAGAAAATAATCACCTTCTAATTCTATAAATAATGAACTGTAAAACTGACTTTTGATGAAAATAAATTGCAGATAAGGAGATGTCCTGCTTTTCTCTTTTTTATATCATAATAAACTTAATATCCTTAAAGGTGGGGTAGGTAAGTTTGAGAAACCGGCTCGAGATACACTTGTTATATTCCATGGAATGCTCTTAACATCCCGATAGCAATGAATATCTGAAGTGCTTTGACAAAAAGTCCATAAAAAAAAAGTCATCTGTGGAAGCCGTGGTACTGTAAAAAGTACAACCAATCATCTGAGCCGGCCCGGCTAAAGTAACTGGATGGCCTACCTGCCTGTCAGCCTTCCTTCTGTGCACAAACTTATCTCGTGCCCTCATTGGTCATGTGCGCGTTCGTGTGTGTTGGAGGAGGGGCTCTGTTGTTTCCGGCTGTGTATTTTCAAATTCTAGCACACTCGAGCTGGTTTCTCCAAAATGACCTACCCCACCTTTAAGTTTTGGGCCAAAAATAGAGAAACAGGTGTGGATGCATTATTTGTATTATTTTCTGAAATGTTATAGACTAAACACTTATTAGATTAAGATTATATTGGATTTATAAAACATAAACTGGTATTGTAAGAGTACCACTGTTCTGACAATAGAGTAGTTGTGCAGAATACACAGAATGCAGGTCTCCCTTGAAAAAGAGATCGATGATCTCAATGGGATTCACCTGGTTAAATAACGTTTTGAAATGAAAATATATATTCTACAAATCTCTATAAAAGGTATTTAGTAAAACTGCTCTGTTTTATGTGCTGCTCTAATGCTGAATTACTTCCAGACGATCAAGTGTTTCCGTAGGAAAAAGTGAGGTAAAATACTGACGTGTGCAATACAATCAGCACAACACACAGAAAGTATCTCTGGGGATGTTTTACTGACTACGGGCTGCAAGAAGAATAATGTAGTAATAGGGAAAATGTAAGATCATAAAAACCTTGTTAATCTCTGTACAGGGAAATGAGGGTGGCACATCAGCCACACGATAAACTAGCAGAGGTAAAACATGGATATCATGAGATGTAATAATACAGTAGAGTCCAACACAACACATGAAGTAATAGCAGGAAACGGTTAGAGAAAATAATAGTTCACTTAACCTCAATGAATAACTACAGTCTACTAGTGGAATATTACGGGCTCAACTTAAGAGGTAATAACAGAGATGAGTACAGTTGTGTTTAAAAACATACTAAAATGTGAACTGCAGACTCAGTACAGAAATACTTTAGATAAACTGTTGTAATAATATTATCAGAGATTAAAGTGTATTACATTAACATTGAAACAGGCCAATTACCGTTCACACATGTTTTAAATATGATAGCAATGGTCTATCATGGAAACAACAAATATTACAGTAATGTTATGAGATGACACTGTCTGGTATCAAGTCATAACTAAATACTATACAATATATTGTAGGAATGTATATGGTAAGGTGGAGGTTACACTACATTCCAATACGATAAAAGCAAAACCGATATTTAGAGGGATAGGCTAGTATACAATAAAGTAGACCCACAAAAAAATAACTGTATGCTACCAGCAGAAGAATTGTACAAGATAAATACTACACAAATATATCAGATATAGTTCACCATGAAGAAAAACAGACAAACTAATACATTGTTTTTTAGAATGTCATAATAGGCTAGTTAAAATATCCATTTCAGTTCAACATGAAATAATATACATAAAACAGGAAATCTCCATGTCTTCGAGGCTGAAAACAGCATGTTCTGCAATTGTTAGCATTACAAGTTAATTTGACGAGATTTACAAAAATTACTTTAGACCTATGCTACCAGCTACGGAATTGTACAAGATACAGTTAGGTATTAGTACAGAACAGTACAGTATAGTACAGATATTGGAACAACTGACAAATCAATCATTTGTGTCCAATACATATTCAAGGTGCTATCATTAAATGAAACCCAAACCAAATATAAAAAAATATATATTCAGTTTAATGTTTTATCTCCATAGTTCAGAGATGAACAAAGATGTTCCTTGAATGTTTGATTTACATTATTTAACGAATAATCGATTGTAAAGAAGTTGAATATTATTGTTCTGTCATTACAGATGTTCAATATGACCAAATCTATCGATCGACAAAACGTACACACCAATTTAAGAATCTCAAGAGTGGAGTAGTAATTTAAAGTTAGAACAGGATGCGTAGCGACACTAAGTGTAACCCGGGTTATAACGGTTAACTGTATTACACGCTATAATTAAGTCGGCCTACAATGAGAGAAGCTACCAGCTAACGACATTACTAAAAGGTCACCACAGCCCCACTGTATGAACACTATGCGAGCATGACAAGAGTATCAAAGGAAGTTGTTAAGAGACAGAAAGTCTGAAGACAGTTTGTCCCCCCTTGACCTCCCCTCCTCCTCCCCGACTCTCTCTTTTCTTATCGGACACACACTCGTTTTCTTTCACACACACAGAATGCATCAAACACGAGTGAAGCAGCCTTGGAACAGCCCGCAGCTACAGCGGCTGAATCTGCATGAAGTTTGATGAAAACTTTCCAGACGAAGTTACACACCAGGCACGCTGCCACCCACCCACACACACCGCGCACACACACACATGGTTTAGACACACACCTGACACGGGAAAAAGCAGCCGGTTTAACGGCACAAAGCTCCGGTAAGAACCAACCGAGGAGGACTCACATGAAGGAGAAGCCGTCCGGATGGTGTTTCTTCTTCTCTTTGTGAAGCTGCTGCACAGTTGAGGGGTATAATGATGCCCCGCCCACCAAAGGGGGAGGAGATGGGGAGAAAAGACAGGAAGAGAAACATTTATTTTGGGTGTGCGGGGTTTTCAACACACTTATTGTGCGTGTGTGTGCGTGTGTATTTCGTAGCAATGGGTGTATCTCTAAAACAGGGGTGGGGAACCTTTTTCCTCTCAAGGGCCATTTCAATTTTTACAATATCCTCAGATAGACAGGGTCAATTTTCACAAAATCAGAACCCCGAAGGCATTTTGTGTTTATTTATGCTATACAACATTTCTAGGGGTATTAAGGGGTGCTGAATCCAAATCTGCTGTATATGAAGCTCAAAAATGTCCCAAAATGCCTCAAAATTGAGAAATCCAACATGGCCGCCACCACCAGCCTGAAATCTATTTTAAGTATATCTTTTTAACTAAACAAGGTACAAACTTGAATTAAATGTGCTTTTGTAAGTTCTCCTACATGGGCAATCTGATGCCATATTCAGATTTGAGATGTAATGTGAATAAACTGCTTAGATCTCATATATATTGCAAAAATAGTAGTTTTTAACTATGAATAATTACTCAGCTATTATTATTATTATTATCAGGCTATTTTTACTTACGTTGTTTTGAGGTTAAATGTTTCAAATGTGCTGTGATGGAACCTTTGCCTTCCCCACTATTGCCCCCTCACCCACAGCAAAAAAACAAACCAAAAAGAGGAATCACAGAGCGCCCATTCAGCGGTGTATTAGCAGAAGACTGTTTCACACAGTCATCTGAACAATGTCCTGCAGCACAGAAAGCACAAGCTACAGACATGGCCTTCTTCATGTCCAGGACATCTAAAAAGCCAATGCCTTCCTGGATATTGTATAATCAAAAGGCAAGCACAGACAACCCAGAGAAAACTACAGTAGACTACCTACCTATCATCCAGGCTCCTGCATCTGAACTCGATACACTGAACACAGTTGTCAAGCGAATGCTTAATATCTCCAAATCAATGGAACAACAGCATGTCATTCTGACAGTGGGCGAGGCATTTTATCCGAAGTTGCTAGAACTAAAGTGGTCAGTAGAAGAATACAAGGACGTGCTTATCCCTTGCCTTGGAGGCCTTCACATTGCCATGAACTTCCTGGGTGTGATAGGACAACACATGGTTGATTCTGGCCTGAGCGAGCTATGGGTCAAGTGTGATCTGCTGGGAGCAAATGATGCGCAGCATATCATGACAGGAAAGGGGTATGCACGTGCCATAAGGACCCACAAACTTACCCTACAGGCTCTTTGGCAGCTACTGATCCCACAGCTTTACACATATCTGGATGAGGTTGATGTTACACTGAGAGCTGAACTCTCAGATCTCTGCCAATCCGTAGATGCTGACCACATCGCGCAGATGGTCGACAAACTGACTACAGACAGATTCCAGCAGCCCATGAAAGAGTTTGCTGCATCGCTTGCAGTTGATGACCCGAATGCCGCATTCTGGTGGGACTACATGACTATGGTCAGTGTCGTACTCTGCTTCACGTGATGGATTGTGGGATCTCCACCTGTATGCTTTCAAACGTATGCTGCCCTTCTTCTTCAGGTACGATCATATAAACAACGCCAGATGGGGTACTGTGTACCTGGCTGAGATGTCTGCTCTCCCACCAGAAATCCTCCTCGAGTTTCAGAAAGGCAACTTCTTGGTGAAACGCAGTGATCAACGCTTCAATCAGGTTTCAGCGGATCAAAGTACTGACTGGCTAAACGCTACAGGAAAAAAGAGTGGTGGTTTAGTGGGCATCACCAGGATAGCAACATCCCTCAGTAGATGGACATTGTCGTATAATCTGAGAACAGTCATAGCTTCTCCGACAAAAGTAATGCTGAGACTGACAACAGATGATGAAGACGATGAGTACACACACACTGAGTGCACAAAGAGTAGAATGGAGAGAGACGACAGGGATGAAAGCAAAATATGTGTATCATTGAAAGAGCACTGTGTGTTTCAAGATGGTGGGGACACACTCAAGAACATAATCAACAAGGAAGTGGTCACACCGGAGATTCAAGAATCTCTGCTTGGTGCAGAACACCTTGGACAGGCACAAATGAAAGTGTTTGTGGACAAACATCTGTGTGAACCTCCAAGCTAGTGACCAGCACTTGGGACTGAAGTCACCCTTTCGAAAGAACAAAGCCAAGACATTTGCCTCTTTGTATGAAGTAGTGCAACTTTCCAAGAACAAGCAAAACACCATCAAAGTGGACAGGCAGATTCTACAAAGGCTAGTCACAGCTTACAGAGCAGGTCGTAAGGTAGACCTGGAAAATGTCCTCCAGCATGAACTCATGCCCATCCCGCCATCTCTGGCCGCAATTAACGGCAGTCTACATTCCACCAACAAGTCTGTTTTAGCAAATATACTGACAAAACATGTCCAAACGCCTGCAGGTGTGCCCCTTCAGGAACCCAGCTGCCTGGCTATTGATGGCCAAGCACTTGTAATGGCACTTGGGAAGCCGCCTGACACTACAACATTTGGCGACTATGCCAACAAGTTTGCTGAGACAGTGTTGAAGATGGGAGAGAAGTACCAGAGGGTTGATGTAGTCTTTGACAGGTACCATGACGAATCCATCAAAACGGGCACAAGGAGGAAACGTAAACAGCGTCACCGACCAGTATGCAGAGAAATCGTTAATGACTCCGTTCCACTTCCAGCAGACTGGTCAAGCAGATCTCGCTAGAATACTCTCAAACCATCTGATAGAACACAGCCCAGAAGATGAGCCTGTGGTTGTAGTATTGGGTGGGTTTGCTGAAGCAACCACTGTCAAGTCATCAGATCCAGATCTTGATGTCTCCTCTTTAATGGCTGACCACGAGGAGGCTGATACACGTCTGATTTTGCACTGCATCCAGGCTCCAATGGACACAATAGTTGTGTCAGCGCGTGACACAGACGTGCTTCTTCTACTTTTAGCACACCATGACAGAATCGGATGTACCCATCTCTACATTAAAGCCGGGACATCAAAGGATTCAAAGGATTTTCCAGTACATGATATTCACAAGTTATTATCTGATGTTCAAGTGGACACACTCCTTGCCTTCCATGCCATCACTGGCTGTGAATAGTGTGTCTCAGTTCAGCGGTCACGGAAAGAAAACAGCCTGGCAGGTGTTGGAGCAACATCACACCGATCTTACTGGCCTTGGGAAGGGCCCTCTCACAGAAGGTATTGTACATCAACAGATACATGTATCTGTAAGATGTATGGTGTGCCAGAGGTTTATACATGCAACAAAGCAAGAGTGAAGTTGTTTTGCAAAGGTCGTCCACAAGAGACTCTGCCACCAACCTGTTTGTTTCATATCATGCGTTCACACTATCGACAATCTGGAACCAAGCTCACCTGCCACATCCTGATCTTCCGTGGATGAAATGGGATGGATGCACAAGGAAGGTCAGTTAGTGCCACAGCTACTGTCTTTGCCACCTATGCCTAAAGCCTGCAGGGAGTTCACTTCATGTGGGTGTACCAAGGGATGCCTCAGCCAACGCTGCAGCTGCAGGTATGTATATAGAGGATTAGCTGATCAATGTGTACAAGATCGTAAAAATATGACAGACTGGTTGAGAATATCAGCCTGCCAGACTGCATACTGCTGACTGTTTGTTGTTAACAGATTGTTGAAACCATAACCGGATAATTGTGAACCTATAACTGAGAAAAAAAGTAACAAAGGAACACAATAAGTGTAAGGATAACTGTAACGTGTATTCCAATGTACCTGTACTTGTACTGGTCATAATCTGTCTATTATATTATATTATATTCAGAAAGAGTCACATGGAATGTATAGAGGCATGCAACAGCAGGAAACATGACAACACCTGCCGGAACACTGAAGATGACGCTTAAAAGTGCCTGCCTTTTGGCAATTTCCCATAAGGTTTGATGTAAAAAAGGCAGTGTGAACAGGCCCACTCCTTCTTCTTCATTGCCTTAACACTGGATGGCATGAGAGCTATAATTTGGGTTTATTTGTTGTTTTAATATATTTTTACATTATTATTATTATTATTATTATTATTATTATTTTGTAATCATTGATATATGGTGGTGTTTTTTTACTTGAATGAGGTTTTTACCATTTCAGTATGATTTGTATTCTTATTGAGTTGAACATTCCAATGCCACCCATACAGTATGTTCTTACTGTATTGGTACTGTTGCTCCACTGTAGGCCTAATCGCGTCATGTTTACGTTATGGTTGGTGACCAAATAAAAATTGTATTAATACACTTTCTAACCAAGCCCTGGTTGAGTCTGACAACTTATTTATCACTAATGACAACCTTTTTCACTATACATGTATGATTTCAAGCTGATTATTCACATTTGATCTAAAATCAGGACAGTATGTTAAATTCCCCATGTGTGAAAACATATAAAAACACATTTAATTCTAGTTTGTACCTTGTTTAGTCAAAAAGTAATGTACTAAAATAGATTTTCAGCCTGGCGGCCATGTTGGATTTCTCAATTTTTAGGCATTCTGGGAAATTTTTGAGCTTCTTATACAGCAGATTTGGATTCAGCACCCCTTAATACCCCTAGAAATGTTATATAGCATAAATAAACACAAAATGCCTTCAGCACTTTAAATAAGCACATTTTCTGAAATTCTGCCTAGTCTAAGAGGGCCGTACAAATTATTGACCTCTGCTTAAAAGAACTAAAATCACAGCCCATTCATTTCATGCTGTGCAAAGAAAAAGCAACCTCTTAACCCAGATATCTCACCATGACTTGCGTATGCATGCACGGTGTGGCGTGACCACCAAAACAGAAAGATATGGACACAAGATGTGTGCAAATGTATTTAGTTTCCTATCCATGTGAACATGATTTAAGTGGGGGGGGGCCTAACCTCCTCTAGGGGGGTCCGGGGGGGCCTGGAAGATTTTTTTTAAATATTGAAGTTAAAAGCATCTATCTGG